GTTTACTTGCGCGCATTTTTGCTAGAAGGTATAGTTGCAAAACATGGTCATACATTATCAAATATGTGGAACTTCCATCATTAAATTTCCTACTTGTTTCCTAAAAAGATTTATGTTCTGATTTTCGTTGAATGCAGTGAAGCTAATGGCAGGAATGCAACTAAAGTAGTGCTATATGAGGATGCAGCGAAAAAGCAGCTTCAAGAGTTCATTTCGGTTCTACGTGGATGTGAACTAATGATCCATGCATGCTCCTCACTTGATGCCATTTTAGAAAATACAGATTCTAGGCTACTACATCATCTATTGACACCAGGTTTAGGCTTAGTTCATGTTTCAGCAGTGTCGTACAAATTACAATGTTGCTTGGAATCTGAAACAACTATATGCAGGTAAAGGGATCCCCGATGTCCATTCGATTCTCCGGCATTTCAAGGATGGCTTCGATTGGGAGGAAGCAAATAGTTCAGGACGTGTAATTCCTGTAGAAGGGGTTGATGTGGAGTATGATTCTTCTTGCCAGACAATAAGAGACATAGAAACTAATTTGGAAAAATACCTGAAGGAGCAGCGCAAATTACTTGGAGATGCATCGGTACAAACTTGTTGAAAATAGCCTGATATTCTTGTAGCTTCTGCTTGTGTATCAACCATCTACTTATTTCCTTTGGACACTTGCAGATTAATTATGTAACAGTTGGTAAAGACGCATACCTGTTGGAAGTGCCAGAAAGTTTGTGCCATAGCATTTCACAGGAGTACGAGTTACAAGCATCGAAAAAGGTAACAAGCTCAATAAGTTGGTATCCTATTGTTATATTTATTCGTATAAATATAAAGAATTTACATCCTGAGTTCCCATTTTCTCCACAAACATTCTTATCATATCATTACGATACCGGTATTTGAACTCAATATTGGTCTTAGGTATTGATAATGTGGGAAATGACTTAAGTACCTGTTTCAGATAGGGTCAAATACCCGTTCATGGCATTAAGACTGGCTGGGAATCACGCACTCATCTGTGGTTTCTTTTAAGATATAACTGCTGTGTAGTTCTCACTCCGTTTTTCTTTGAATAATTGATTTCAGGGCTTCTTCCGGTACTGGACTCCAGTGATTAAGAATTTAGTAGGGAAGCTCTCTCAAGCTGAATCTGAGAAGGAGTCTAAGTTGAAGACCATTTTGCAGAGGTTAATTGGAAAATTTTGTGAACATCATAATAAATGGAGACAATTGATTTCTACTATCTCAGGTATTGATGCATAGTGGATATCAAACCTAAAGTGTAAATCTCAGTTTCAGTCAACTACTATGTGAACCTACCGGTCTTTCTAAAGATCTTTCATCCTTCAATTGGACACATAAAAATATTTGTTTCAGGTTCTTATGTGCTTTTGGCTTACTTTGCTGGAATTGTAAATTTGCTTTTTATGGTTTAAATCAGGAAATAGGCCGTTTTTGTTTGCTTTACAAAACATAATAAAAATGTCTTGTTCATTTCTTTGTGTTCTGGTACTTTTTGCAGAACTGGATGTTTTAATCAGCTTATCTATTGCTAGTGAATACTATGAAGGGCCAACGTGCCGCCCAATAATCTCTCCGGTATCATCTCCTGATGAAGTGCCGTGCCTGATTGCTAATAGTTTAGGACATCCTGTTCTCAGGAGTGATACATTAGGCAAGGGTACCTTTGTCGCTAATGATGTTTCACTTGGCGGTTCTAGTCAAGCCAACTTTATCCTTCTTACTGGTCCTAACATGGGTGGGAAGTCTACTCTTTTGCGTCAAGTCTGCTTAGCTGTGATTTTGGCACAGGTAGATTTTGTAAATTCTCTTTTCTTTTAGCTATGAATCGCTTCTAAATATTTTTTAATGGTTTAGCTTTGATTCTTCCCAGATAGGGGCAGATGTGCCGGCAGAAAGGTTTGAGTTGTCTCCCGTTGACCGTATTTTTGTTAGAATGGGTGCTAAAGATCAAATTATGGTTGGGCATAGCACATTCCTGACAGAGCTTTTGGAAACTGCCTCAATGCTGGTTAGGGTTACGAATTGGTTAGATTTTTTTAAAAAAAAGAAAAAGAAAAAAAAAAGCATGCCCGAGCTATGAAAATTCTTCTTATTTGCTTGATTATTTCTTTATTGAATGCCTTTTTTATCCCTTAGATAAGATAAGAACCTGGTTGTTGGAGTCCTAAGTCGATGCTGTTTTAGAATCAATGCAAGGAGAAGGGCATCATCTAGTCACTTCTTAGATGATTTACTTTTATGATTGATTCATTGTATCTGTTATCTTTATTTTGTTGTAGTACTAAATCCAATTCCTCATCTGTTGCTGCATAGCATGAATTGTCTGATCATCTTTTGAATTTATTTCTGATGGTTGATGCAGTCTGCAGCAACCCGTAATTCTCTTGTAACATTGGATGAGCTTGGGCGGGGGACATCAACGTCAGATGGGCAAGCCATAGCGTATGTGCAGTTATAGAGAATTAGATATGCTGTTTTAGATTCTGAGACGAGATATTTTTGTTCAAACCTCCCAATCATTGTTAATGTGCCTGCAAAATTCTGTGAAAATACATTTGGTCTTCAGTTTTCTTGTTTGAATCTCTTTTGGCAGTGAATCAGTTCTTGAGCATTTTGTGCGCAAGGTACAGTGTCGGGGAATGTTTTCTACCCACTACCATAGGTTGGCTATTGACTATCAGAAATATCCTAAGGTACGGAAATGAGATAAAATGTGTCAGGAGGCTCTTCTATGACAGTTATATTCTGTAAATCCATGGTACAAAATTTTTGATATAGTAGACATAAGTTGAAGCTCTTATAATCGGGTATAAATAGTGAGATTCTGTAATCCTAAATGGAACTTTCTAACCAAGTTTTTGCAATGGTTTAAGAAGAATCCTTGTTGACTATTGGAACAAAATATTTCTTTGCTTAGACTTGACACTTCATTTTGTACGGATTATGGAGCAAACTCATTCTTTTGCAGAGCATCTTAGATTCATACAAAAAGAAGGAAAAAGAGATGTTATAGCTTCAACCTTGTTTATTAGTTTCTGTTGTATTCCAGATATTATATCCAAGGGTTCTGAAAATGATTGAAAATAGAATAGAGAGAGAACACGTTATTTCTGAGGCTCTGCAATATGAACTTGCAGACCTGATTACATGCATATATGGGCAAATAACAAGGAAACTAATTGCACTTGTTAAATAACAAAAATAAATCAGTCTGACCGATCAACTATCCTAGCTGGACTGGCAACATGGAATGGTTGCCAACTTGACCAATCTTCAACAAATCCTCATGTTACTTCTGTATACAGTAACCCCTCCCGATTCCAAGTTTTTATTGCAATGGACTTCTCTAACTGCATTTATAGGACCAATAACGTAGTTTTAAAAGATAATGCTAATGTTCTTTTATGTTTGAAGGTCATATGAATCAGCTTGAGAAAAGATTGTCGAACTTGTAATGTTTTCTGTGCCTCGAAGCTCACACACAAAAAGACAAGTGAATTGGACTTAAAACTTGGCCAAAAACGAACGTAAAATATGTACTTATTTGGGTGTTGAATGCATTGATATACTAATCACTGAGCCGATACATTTTCCTATAATTATATCTGTTTTGAAAATTTCACCCTTCAACGATTTCATATTCTGTCTTCCTCTTGGCGCACAGGTCGCCCTCTGTCATATGGCATGCAAAGTTGGCAAAGGAGTTGGAGGTCTTGAGGAAGTTACCTTCCTCTATAGATTGACATCCGGTGCATGCCCTAAAAGTTATGGGGTTAATGTTGCAAGGTTAGCTGGTAAGTTGACATATTTTAGGAAAAAGAAAGAAATTGTAAACTAAGTTTAGATTTTACTCCTGCATAGGGGCATTTTTGAATTGATAAAATTGATCGAAATGTTAAGAATCAAAATGGCATGCCAGGAAGTAGACATTTTTCCTTGAAATTTATCCTTCAAAGTATCATCAGCTGAATAACTCTTCCATCTACTGCATGTTTGGTGCACAATAGGTTTGGACATTATAAGAAACGAGATTTCAGCTTATGTTTCTTCTTTATAGTGTCCATTACTATCCAATGTTTCCTACCAAACATGCCATAGATCATGTGCCAAGTATCATCTATATACAGTTAAAAGATAGCCTTTTGCCTTGGGTACTTGCCCAGTAGCTTTCTTGGTTCTAATTTTCATTCCATTTCAGGACTTCCGGATGTAGTACTTCATAAAGCTACTGCAAAGTCTCAGGAGTTTGAAGGAATGTATGGCAAGAGATCAGAAGATGACTCGTCCATTCTGAGTTTGGAAGACGAGGCATCAGTGATAATCCGAAACTTGATAAAATTTTCAGCTAACCAGGGTTGCAGTTATTCTTCAGAGCACATGGTCCTTGGCTCATTGAACGAATTGCAACTGAGAGCAAGGATGCTTCTTGAGCAAAATTAACCCCAAAGGACTGCACACAATTTGTCTGTTATGTTGTGCTTGCATCTCTACATTTGCATTGAAGAATAAGCCCATGTTTCTGTTAAATGCACATCCCTACCCTGTGCCTAGATCATACCCAAGCACAAACTGGCGCCATATCTTCCTCAACTGCATTCCTCTCATTGTGATATAATAGCTCCTTGGAACGGCTTACATTTGGTGGGGAGTGGGTTGCAGGAAATGAGCTTGAAGCCATGATATGGCTACTTGGAACTCTCTCTCTCTCTCTCTCTCTCTCTCTCTCTCTCTCTCTCT